CACTGAAGCGCGTCGTGAAATTATAAACATTTTATTTATAGTTTCTCTATACGAGTATCGGCAGTTGTTGAATTTCCCCTGTCGGTAATTACGCACTTTTAAAATGCAGTGTGTCTGCGGTTCATAAACTATGCACACTATGTGGGCGGATATGTGGGCGGGCGGTGGACAGACAGACAGAATCGGTCTATAGTCGCCCATTTGCCATGTGGCCTTTTTAAGAATTCACAAAAAGGCAAATAAACGCAACTACTAAAAGCCAAATGGCTTTTCGGTTGCTTTCTGAGCACGAAGTCTGCGACTTAAGTTATTTAAACATACCTATATCTACTACTACTATAGTATGTGTACTTATTTACATATTCATGTGTGTGTGTGTGTCGGATACGTTGACAGGCAGTATGGCAGGCAGGCAGCTAATTAGTGGACAACTTATGTGAGCTCATGGCATTTTTGATAAAGCAATAAGCACATAAATGTGTATCAAGGTGAGGAAAATGTGAGTGATTTTGTCTCAAGGTTATGCAAGGAACCACAGCAACAACAACCACAAGAAATGAAACCAATACTGTTTGTCTCAAATATATTCAATTGATAATTAAATAAAGATGATGGAGACTATCACTATTACATACACGATATGAAGCGTCAATTCGTCGCCAAAGTATGGATTTATGTAAGAGCTTATCAACTTTTGGCTAGAATCTATAATTAAGGCATTTAAATTGAGATTAAGAAGATCTTATTCGCTGTTCTTAAAAAACCCCTATAAAGCATTGGAACATAAGAAAATAAGTAAATAATCAACTTGTGCTTCTTCTATTCATGTGTAACAACTTTACCATCGTCACTTACCTAGAAATCTTGGAAGGAATCATTTTGGGAATTGCTATTTTAATAACTGACTATTATTAGCAAAGAATGATTTAATCGAAACAAAATTCTTACGAAATTGCGGCAAACATTTTTTGAAGCAACTTATTTTTGGCTCTGCGTGGGTACTTAATGGATATTGTGGATATTGTTTAATTCTGTATTGATTGCAGCGGTTGATTTAAGCAGTTATTGATATGAGAGCATAAAAAAGTTGATTAAGCTTGATTTAATAATAATTCTGTCGCACAGCCTGAAATATTTCTAGACGGGCCATAAAGCCCAGCTCCTACATTAATCAAACTTTGATTTTCTGATTGTGTTTCCCCAAAAATTTCCATATCGATAATAAAGTTATGTTTTAACAAACAATTTACAAAGTCGATATTGGAAACTTTTTTCGGACTGCCATCATATATGAATATTTATATTTTGTGCGCAAAATCAACATATAATATGGCAGGGTTTGCAGTTTGAAGTTTTGCCTTACCTTTCATGCTTCAGAAAGTGTGCATCTACCTCCTAAACCTCCCCATCATCATCATCATACATAGCTATGCCATTCAGCTTCCTATTGTGTTGCTTCAAACGACGCCTTGCAATTTTTCTTTTTATCCAGCATCTTGAAGGGGGGAGTCCTCTCCAATTTACGTTCCTTCCTTGCCATTTATTCCGACATAAGCACTCATCAGATCATGATCTATGTATGTTTGCAAGTATTGGCGGCTTGTGTGTGTGGCCAAGCCTAGGTCTATAGAAAGGAATACTGTTATGTATACTTTAGATGCCGTTTAAAATAGTTTTCTGCTGCGTTTGTAGTTGTTGTTGCAAGGTAACTTTCCTTGTAAATATTTACTATCACTCTCAAAATATTGTTCATCAATTTATTACAAATACCAAATACCAGACATTTTATCCAAATAAAACTCTGATTCATTCAGCGAACCACAAACAAGCCAACAAATACACAAAAATAATGACTCAATATATTCCACTTCTGGATTATAATACTTGCCCGCTTTCTTTTCGATAATCCTCTGAGAAGAGGAGAAATACTTTTTCTACTGTACGAGCATTGAAAAAGCAGATTAGAATCCCATCAAAGCTACAATAATGCTCGTATCTCCACTTATTTATGCCTAGATGCGCCCCAACAGAGTTGGGAGGCAAGCCAACCATTTGTGCTTCACATCTTATTTTGTTTTTACTGATGATGACATCATCTTCTATGTATGTAATATTTGCTTATATCATTCGCAGCTTAATTTCAAATAATCGTAAATATGTAGAGTCTACAAATATATTGGTAGAATGTTGGGAAATGTTTGAGGCAACGAAATAATTGTCCATTAGCATACATTTTTGTTTTGCACAATATTTTCGGGTGTGACTGTAAAGATAATGGCCGTCTATAAAATTAAATTTTTATTTTACGCATCTCTACTTCCCACAAGCCATTCAGTTTTACTTTTTGTATGCTTTTTCATTCAAGCCAACCACAAATACTTCCAAAAGAAATAAAAACTTGTATAGGTATGTACTTATGTTGCATATCGCCATTCATCTGCGCATCTGAAGGCCGGCAACCGCAGTTGGCCACTTTTGTGTAAGTGAAAGTTTTTCCTGTACTTAGTTGGCCATACTCGTATATAGATAGTCGTTTATATACGTACAATACATACCTGGACAGTCGTAATGCCCCTCCAGTTTGTTGTAATTTGAGCAGCAGATACAAATTTTCTGTTGCTTGATACTCCCTCCATGGGCCATGGGCTGCTACACACGCAAAAATAGGTATAATATATGTAGTAGTATACTTGTATATGAAATATTTTATACCTTCTCATCGTTGTGGTATTATGTGGCTGGCTGGCTGGCTGACTGTCTGGTTGGTTGGTTGGTTGGTGGGTGCGTGGGTGAGGCGATGACGCCGACCAGTAACGGCTTTTGTTTCAACGATAAAACACTCGCTGAGAATACTAAAAGTATTTGATGTTGTAGTTGCTGTTGTTGTTGTTGTTGTTGTCTGCTTTTATCTGTTTGTGCCGTATGGTTTTGTTTTTTGTAAGAGATTTAATATAACACGCTGTTTATACTGCCCTGCCGCTGCTGCCATACTGCCTTGCTGCTATGCTGCCTTGCTGCTATGCTGCCTTTGCTTACGTCATAAGCCCAACCTCGATGTCGCCAAACTATGATAAGGCACAACACTCGTTCGTATCTATAGCAGATTAGTTTTAGTTTTTCGCATGGAAAATGGTTTTGAATGTGCAAATGAAAAGTGAATGTGAATAGTGGAGAGTGAGGAAACTGCATCAAGATACTATTATGTGTAAGGGACTAGGTCATGGTTTTTGGAAATCTACATTTAATTATTGCTCGCTCTCTTGTGGAACTGTAAAGAAAACTCTTTAAAAGTATTGAGAAAGACAGGCATAAAGAGATAGTAACAAAAAACTAAAAAACTCTCATTATGAACCAAATATTTTCTATTACTTTTTACACATCTGCTTCATTAAATTCTTTGAAAAACTGGGTGGGGAGCTTTATGTAAACTCTGTTAATTATTTAAGAAAAGAAATAAGTAATTGAAATCAATTAATAACTAACAAGCTCTCATTCTAAATAAACTGTTCTCCAACTCCTCTTACACATCTGCTTTATATTGAAGTATTTCCTAGCGCTACCGGTCTGTTCATAATACTTCATAATCCTATCCTTCACGCCTCCACAGCCCATTAGTACCTTTTTAGTTAAAAGAAAGCCATTAGGTGCTGTTAATCATTTCATTTGTTTGTCCGTTTGTTTAGTTTTTAAATCTTCTTTAAAATATTTTGCAAAATAAATTTGTTTGGTTAAGTAGAAATGAATAATAAATGATTTAAAATTATTAATAATCAATTGTTTTACAACTCTCCTTCTTGCCTTCAACCCAGCCAGGTACGCATTCTACTCAAAATATAGCTCTTTCAAAACTTATCGCTTCTTATTTCTGATATATTCAATATAATTCTTGCTTTAACACAAAAGATATTGAAGACTGACTACACAAAAAATCCTGTGAAGTATAGCCTTAATTCTTTTCGATTCATTCCAACACATTTTCCCTTAAGACGTTGCGCTCAGTTTCCTTCATAAGTATATATTTACTCAATTTAAGCAGTTTTTCCTTAATAGCTTTGTAGATACTTATATCCAATTATATTTACAAACTGGAAACGAATACTGCCTTATAAAAAGAAATCAATAATTATCGCTAAATATGTTTGTTTGTTTCGCAATTGTTCCAAATAATTGCTTGTGCTGAATTGACCTTGACCTGGCGTTTTGAAAAACGCTCATAGCACGTGTTTCGACCACAACTTGCTAGCTGAAATCGTCTGAGTCATACAGTGTGAGCTTTATCGTCTGGTTTATTTGAATATTTTTATGCATGCATACATATTTAGTAGGTTGCCGAGGTTTTTAACCTAAGTAGGAAGTGGATTTTTAAACTTTTACTAACTGGCAGAAACTTGGCTGCCGCCAAGGCTGTTCATAAACGTTTAAAACAAAGTGAAGAAACCCAAAGCCAATCAAATAAATAAAAGGAAGTTAGAGAGACGAGAGTCTTTTATTTTAGCTATAAATGAGGAAGATTGAATAAAATGATAAGAGCTGTCGATCATTGACTCAAAAAAAAAAAAAAAAAAATTAAATGCCGTTTAATATCATACAACCATCATTAATTGGCAAAAAAAATTATATTTAAGAGTTCAAGAAGATCAAGAAGTTTAGATAATTAAAAAGCTTAAAACCTGACGTAAAACTTCGTTTTATTTAATTTTATTGCCAGCACTAGATTTCGAAAACCTTCCTATAGATAGAGTTTGTTAGCACTTTTCTCATATTTGTTGGAAAATTGGGGAGGAAAAAAACCATCTGTTAAGAAATCTTAAGCTGACCAAAGACCCTTGCCGTATAGAAGTATTAAGCGTGGATAATTTAATTTAATTATCACTTCACTTATAAAGTTAAACCGATACTAAGAACCTGCTTTCAATACACAAAATATTGGTTGCAAAATCTATTCTCTATAACTGTAATATCCATTATTAAATAATACATTTTCCATCTTTTACTTGCAGCTCGAAGCCCAAAACTGAATCATCTCTCTTAGCTCCAAACTAATGAAGTCCTTCCCAAACCGTAACCTCAACCGAAGCAGCCTTTCGTGTGAGCTTCAACAGCAGCCAACACAAATCAACATACAATTGATAAAGAATTTGAGCCTAAATGTAATACCAGAAGAAGAAGAAGAAGCCGGAGGAGAAGGTGGAGAAGAAGAAGAAACAAGCCGTTAAATTAATAGATGAAATGCAACAAGTAACAAAACAAGCAAACCAATTTATTGCATACATACATACGTACACGTATAGAGGAAACAAAAGATAAGAAAACAAAATATTCATTCATTACTACAATACATATAGCGTATATATAACCACGAGACTACAGATATGTATTTAGTTGTAACGTAGTTTAGTTTAAAATGAATATATGAAGAAAGCGAAAAGCGAATCCGCAAAATGGGTCAAAACTAAAGCCAACAAAGCAAACGGAACAAACAGAACAAGATACATAAACAGAAATAGAAAGGAAGCAGAAGAGTGGGCAGAAACAAATTGGTTTTTCAAAAAGTAAGTCGGTCAGTTAGTCAGTCAGTCAGTCAGTTAGTCAAGCAGACAGCAAAGAACATTAAACAGCAACAACAAAACATTTGTGAAAGTATAAAACGCTTTATTAATTTATAAATTTAAAAATAAAAACAAATTATGTGTAAAAAAACGTTACGTACACAGTGCGCTTGAAAAAAAAACAAAGAAGAAGAAAAACACAAATACACAAATCATATGATAAAACAATGTGTTATATTAATAAACAATTAACAACAACAAAAAAATCAACCGATTAAAGGCGCAGCATAAAATCCCAATAAGTAAAAAATTTGATAAAGAAAAAAAAAACAGGAGAAGATGTAACATTTAAAACAAAAACAATAATTGGTAGAACTGACCAGTATGTGCAGCAATAGCCAAACAGATTCAGGTGTGTACACACTGTTTGATGCCAACGCGCATTTCCAATGCCTAATTGTGCAGCAATAACCGAACCGAAGCAGGTGTGTACACACTTTTTTAGGCTGCGAGCGAATGCGTGCGTGTGTGTGTGAGAGAGAGAGTTGTACAATCAGCGATGACAGCAGCCAAGAATATGCAAGTGTTATGGTTAATACTTATAGTACATCACCAATCATCGCCATCACGCCGCATCCGACTTAACAGTAGCACCAAGAAGTCGGCGCACCAAACTCATGCTCTTACACACATTCAACTGTTTGTTTGCTTTTTTGTCCGTTCAATACGGACTACCCCAGCTAACCGAATTCAGAAAAAACAACAAACCAGAATAATAATATGTGTAGCTGTTAATGAAATAAAAATACCAAGCGTCTATGTTTACTTTCGGATAAAGAAGCCCCAACTGAAATTTGTGTGTAAAGGAAAAAAAGCGTAAAAATTTAGCATTACATAAAAGGCGTAATTAACAAACAAACAAAAATCTATATACATATATATTTACATTAAGCATTATACCAACAAATCATGTGCAAATAAAACAAAAAAGAAAAAGGCGCCAACTAAGTTTAATACTTAAAAAAAAATACGCTGAAGAAGTTATGGGAAATACTATTATTATTTATTGTTTAAATTGTCGGCAGAAATGCCGCACCTGGAAATTGAATGTTTTATAATTTTGTTTAAAAATTGTACTACCTGTAAATCTTTGTTGATTTAATTTTAAACGCCCGGCCTTTCAAGTTATGTTGTGAGAAGTCAAATCAAAACGAGCGTAGAAAAAATAAAGTTTATTTTTTAATCATTTCGTTTATATTTAACAAAAACAAAAAAAAAAAAAACAAAAAGAAAAAACAATAATTTCTAACTAGTTGCGACAAAAAGTCATACATAGGCATTACAAATCTACATTTTAAATGAATAATTGAGTAAGGAACGTAGCCACGAACTGTTCACATCACATTACGACGTTGTTTCTATATGTTTAATTAATATTTTGATTTATTTTTAACACACGCATATATACATCAGCCACAACCGTTATAGGCGCATTAATAACCATATAGGTTATCTATATTTAAAAAAAGAAGAAACAAAAATAAAAAATGAGAATTCAACCTACACGCATAACATATAAATAGTCTGTAGTAGTCTGAGCAAACAATTTAATAATAAACAAATATAAATATGCATTGGAAAAAATGGAAAATAAAAACAACAGACATTTATTTGCTGGCATATGCGACGATATATGCATTAGAAACAATTTTATATATTCAGTTTTATTTTTAAACAAAATTAATGTGTTTTTTAAAACCAGATTGGTTCATTTTTGTGCAATTGTTTTCTTTTAAAATTAAGTAAATTGTAGCAATGCGTTAATATTTATTATTTCCACAACTCTTGTAAAATATTATATTTCATAATAATTTCTTTCGAGCTCATTAAAGAGTTTTTGTTAAGCCCCCATCTATTGAACATTTCGATTCAATTTGCATAAACAACAAATCATTTATGTCGAACATTGTGTAGGAATTAAAAAACAAACTTTCTGTTGTTGTTTCATGTGTGTGCGTGCAAAATTTGGGGTACATATATATAAATATATATATTTATAAATATATAATTATATATACATATTAAAAAGAGAAAGAAACAAGAAAAGTAAAATTCAAATTATTTAATTTAGTTTCTACAATTAAGTTTATATAGCAAGTGCATATATATATTTAAAACAAAGATGAGTAATCTTTAAAAAAAAAACAACAACAAAAAACAAAAACAAACAAGCATACAATAAAGAGGAAGAAATTTGCAAAGAAAAAAAACAATTATAAGTAACGATGATTTGAAAAGATTGAGGAGAATGAAACAAATAAAAAACAAAAAACAAAACAGACAAAAAAACCAATAAAATGAATTTGAAATCCTTAAAAAATATACATGAAAAATTGTGTGTGCGTTATTATTGGGAGACGATCAACCCTTTCTAAGCCAAGAACGTTAACTGAAAGGAATGCGCTGAATAAAAGGAACTAGTTGGGGAAAGTGGAAATTCAAGGGAATTCTCTACAACTCACTACCATCCCCGTTAGCTAACTTGAATCAAACCTGAATCAAATCTTTTCTAAATATACTCATCAGATATAATCATTGAATTAATCATACCTCTCTACAGCTCGTTATCATAATCCAAGGAATCAAAATCTCTTTCAAATGCGTTGGTTAGACAGAACTATTGCGGCAATGGGAAAGTTTCTGTTTAGTAATTCCATCAGCAATTTGCAAATTTTGATGAACTTAAATAACATCTGTCTAATGAAATCGCTAGAATCTATTTAAATCTAAAATTGTTCATCATCTGATGAAAAAAAATTAAAAGGATATTCTTTTTAAAATCGATACAGTATTTATAAAATACCAGCTAGCGGGAGATCACATGAGACCGGTATATACCTTATTATTTTCAATAGTAGCTTCATTCTGATAATAGTGCCTGGAAACAATTAAAAACCATCTATACTACAGATAGTGACATCGATAATCTCATATCTGTAAAAACTGATATTGTTCTGATAACACAACATGTGAACGATGGACGTTTATCATCTGTTTGCATTTGAAAATTTATAACCTACATAAGTTTTGTGTTTCTGTAGTTATGTATATTAGAGAATTGAATTTTAAAATAATGTTTTAAATAATTTTCTAGATACTCATATCTCCTTTTTTGAGTTCTTTTAACAAGTATTTTTAAAATAATATTACTTTGTCATTAAAGGTTTTACAAATCTCCCCCACTTGTTAATTAGTTGTAGAATATATTCATATCCATTCCTCATGCCTTTGCTTGCTTTACAAAAAAGCCATTACTTTCATTAAAAGAAATAATTATATTTCAATTCACATGCATGCAGGCCACGTGGGGGCCACGTTACATAATTTTGTTATTTTGTTCGTTTTCCTAAAAGCAAAATTCCATTTAATAGTTTTGCATATGAAATTAAAGTGTCGAGTTATACTCGTAGTTGGTGGTTGGAAACATGCAAAAATTTGCATATACGTATAGAGGTGAGTATTAAAAACCATGCCGTATACTTAATATGCTATATACTTTATATAGATATGTATGTACCATTGTAGCGGCAAAATTGGCAGCTGAAAACACCTGCAAACAATACAAACTTGTAAAATCAATATGTATTTAGAATTTCAATGGACTGTGAAAGAGGCCCTGAAATAAAACAAAATCGGGCTTCATTGAAATTATACGACATGTATACAACTATATATTATTATTTGTTTATACATGCGAAGTAACAGCTTTATAGACAGTGCTTGGAGCATCAAACAATGAGCTGATTTGACCTCTTTAAGTATAGCTTCAAAGTCTCAGCTATTCCTGATAATGATGTAATTATCAAGATATCCTAAATAGTAACCTAGCTAACTAACTCAGGTTATTAAAATGATAGAGAGCTAAATTACTTCAATCTTAATTGAATAACTTAAAGCTTGGCATACAATTTCAAAGAGATCAGCATATATACTTGAATTTGGAGTTAATTCTATTGTACAAGAACCCCTTTTACAATATTTGTGTGCAGGATGATTTGACTGCTTCTCGGACCAGATCACACTTAGTCATGCGACTAAGTATTACGTATACGCATTTACAATCTATAGCACTTTTTTATTCCAAATTAATCTTAAATTTTCACATTCCCACTATCACAAACCAGGCTAGGGACGCTCTTGGATTCATTAAACGCTGGTCCGGTGAAAAATTAATTTAATTTTCATTCATTTCATGTATTCACATAAATTGGCTCATAAATTGGTGTGTATCTATAATTAGTTAATAATAAAGAGTACAGGTTATAAAACCTTATTAACTTAATTACTTGTATATATAAAGTGTATTTTTACAGTTTATGAGTGAACGGTCAGTTTCTAATATGTAACAAAAGCGGGGGAAAAATTTAATCAAAAACCCATGAAAAATTAAATTTTAATTTAAAATTTATCCGGATTATAGAAATCATTAATTACGTCTTTTTGGTCTTCGTACTTCAAAACTGGCATCCCATCCTTCGTTTGTCACCCTACTCGAGCAGACTGTCATCGGCAAATTGATTATCGAGTGGATAGTTTCCCCCTATTTTTATTCTTAATTCTCAATCCCTTTACCAAACAAAAAATGTATTGCTCTTCTAATAAATATATGAACTACTGATTAGGGATTGCACACTCCTTTTCGGGGCTTATGCCTTAATTATAACAACATTTCCCACCTGAACTCTCTCTTTCCTATTTAATTAAAACAAAATCATAAACAAGCATTGCAATTAAGTAACACGAAACCGCGAAAAATAATTGTAAAAATAGTATTTTTATTTGTGATAGTTTCTGACCCGCTGGAGGACAATTTAGTAGTTGGCCAATACGGCTAACTGACCTGGTTGTGGCTGAAAAGTGTGGGTGCAGTTCTACTAAATATTTATGTAGTATAGCTTAAGCTTTATATTAAAGATTTTCTCAACCCAAAACGGGCTGCCAAAGTGTTCTGTTTATGTTCCGAAATATGAATGTATATTTATTTTTGTCTGCAGCTCTTTCTACCTACGACGTTGCGGGCCGTTGCATTTTTTTACATACATGCCAACTTATTACATGCCGCAGCTGAAAAAATACCAATGTATGTGCATGTATGTATATAAAGGTAGTTACCTACACTGAAAAAAAAAGTCGGGAATCGCCCTAAAATTCAAAAAACGCCCTTTAAATACAAACGAAGACAACTAACAATGCTTTTAAAAAAGTTGCTTTTTAAAAAGTAATTTTGTAAAATTGGGTAAACTTTTTTGAAAGTGAAAATTATCATTTTTAAATCTGTTGAATCGAGTCTAGCTTGAATTGAATCGAGATTTTTTAAATATTGTATAAATACTAGTATACTACAAAAAAAAAAGAAGGAAATTTGGCAATGCATAACACGCTGCTCAAATGTTTTCAGAAACATTTATTAGAGCTATAGTTTCAGGCCGAAATTAACATAGTATTAGAAATATTCCTTCAAACGATCCTGTGGCAGCTGTATAAATTTATTAGACTATATACGATTACGAGTCTGCGAACAGAGGGATGGGCAGAGGAACAAGCCTTGTACATATTGTAAAGGAATTTTTCTGCCTGTTTCCATCTTCATTTTTAGTTTTAGGTCAACTTTCTAAAATCTATAATCCATCTATTATTTTCCGAGTGTACTAAAATATGTATGTACGGAAGGAAGCTCCGGCAATGGCTGAGTAGAGGTCTTATATATTTTTTGTTTCCTTGATTTTCGTGGAAGCAGAAAGTTGGCGTGTTTGCCACACAAACACACGCAGAGAAACACAGATATACCTTTATAGGTATGTATATATGGAGATATATATGAAATATGTATATATGTATATATACATATGTAATATATGTGCATAGTATGGAAGGTTATGGCGAGGCATGTGTGCGTGGCATAGCAAAGGACATGGCATGTCTAAGGTTATTTATAGCAACACTTTTGGGCACATATTTGGTTGCTCCTTTACGTTTTTTGCTGCTCAAAGTTTGAAGTTGCGGCACCGCACACATGTGACAGGATAACACAGAGCTGAACAGAATGGAAAGGAACAGAACAGAACAGAATAGAATAGAACTGAGCAGGAGAAGGAGAAGGAGCAGGAGCGGGAGCGGGAACAGGAGTTTTATGAGTTGTGCCTCGGGTAATGGAACTTTGGTTGGCAAGTTGGACGAAGCAAA